GCGGCCAGAGCTGGGCTGGGGCGAGAGCTTGAGAAAAGTCCCACAGGCCGGAGAAAAATCTCTTTTGAGGGGTGAGGGTAACTGTTTTTTCCTTTTTTTTTTTTTTTGAAGGACTCTCTGTTCAGGCAACTGCCTTGGGTTTTGCTCTGTCGCTTTTGGTGGCTTTCTGCTGCAGAGACGTAGATAAAGGAGTTCAAAGGGAGACGGTGCAGTAGTCGCGCAGCCCTGTCAAAACTCTGGAGAGCGACTGCTCGCGAGTTAAGACACCCAGTTTTCTCAGGACAGGGTTTCTTGCCTTTCCTTTTGGGATACTGGGTAGAAAGCTCTTAATTTCACTTTCTGAGCTTGTCTAAACCAGCTTTTTCTTGCCTCCGCACAGTTGCGATTAATTAAATGTGCCTAATTTAAGCTCTAGGGCTGCAAAACAATAGCCTGTAACATGTGTAGCACAAACCCGTATTTCCTCCCTCCAAGAGACAACAAAGCAGACAGCTTTGGGAGTCTCCTTTTTGCTGGCTGCTTATGAATTATTTTTTTGTGAGTATGTAAGGCTGAGCTCTGAGCTGGTGTCAGTTGTTGCCGCTGGGTTGGAGTATTGCCGTCGCTGAATCGCAGCCGCGGCGAATCTGGCTCTGGCCCAGCAGCCTTGCTTTCAAAACGTACCCCCAAATAACAGCTGTTGAGAGAACGTTCAAATTTCTCCAGCAAAGCACTTCAAACACAGATTAAAACGTTCCTTTCAATGAATCATGCAGTCTTAACTCTTCCTGCTCCTTCCCCGTGTAGTTGCAGAGGAATCTTTTCAATCGAAGAGTCGCTTCCTGTTACCAAATGATACAGTACCGTGAGATTCTTGCTTCCCTGCAGTTTCCCCGCGCTTTCATACAACGTGTTTCACCTCCTTCCTCTGTCCCAGTAAATCTGTTTTAATAGCGTCTGTGTGGCAAAACTGTTGTCCTCTCTTCCTTTGTGCTTGCAAAGCTGATGAGATGAGGATTGCGAGAACAGTGGCAGCGCATCAGCCGTAGCGTAGGTGCTTGCGTTACAGTCTCTGGGGTAAGAGAGCAAGTTAATGGCGCTCGGTTTGTTTCATTAATACTGTAGATTCGCAGCATCTGAGTGCTACAAGATCAAGTCTGGGTCAGACTTGAGCCTCCAATCCAACTTCCTTTGAATTGGCCAGAAAACACATCAGAGAAAGTCAGCATCAAGCCAGCAGAAATAATGCGAGCTGTGAGGGGATGAATGATACCTGAGCTGGCAGGAAGGCAGCTGGTATGAAGTTAACCTGTCAGCATTTCTGGAGCAAACTTAAACTTCAATGAGTCTCTGCTCCTGTGACCATGGCATTTTTGATCTGGGACTAAAAGCTCTAAAGGCAGGTTTATGGCAGTGTTAAGCAATGCCTCAGGTGTTGCAGTGAAGGCCAGTAGAATAAAACCCTTGTTCTTTCTAGAGACTTCTGGCCAATCCAATCTGCATGGGAATGCGTCAAGACATGTTTCTAGTGTGTGGGGCATTTTTCTGCTGAGTTGTGACTTTCTGAAGGTTTTCCATACCCACTTATAATGACTACATAGAGGTAGCTGAAATAGGACAGTCCTTGAAGTAGCTATAGGAAAAGCTTATATCAGTTGTACTTTGTATATATCGAAGGCTTTACCCATGTGTGAGATATCTCATGTAAATTCTGCCATACCTCAATGTGGTGCTTTCGCCGTGGGTATTTGTAGTTACCACAATAGAATATTACAGAAAAGCTTTGCACAGGTGGAACCTTGGCAAATCTTCATGCTTCTTTATGAAAACACGCTATGTATTTTACTCTTTGTTCTGCCAGCTGGTGGAACCATCTATTTCAGCTAACTTCCTCCCTTCCCCAGGTAAGTGGACTCACCCTGGGTTAAGACCAGGACTGTAAAACTGAAAGGTAAAACTAGGGAGGCTTTTATGTCTTCCCCCCCCCCCCCCCTTAAGGTTGGGAATGATTTAAAAAAAAAAAAAACCCTACTTTTCCCAAAACTTAATTCACAATTCTTGAGCAAATACGGCTGAACAAATATTGCAGTCTTATATATCTATAGTTATATAGTTTATAGTTACAACTTCTTTTAATCCTTGACCTGTTGTCCAAATCTTCCTATGTTCCAAATATTTTTAAGAAGGTGAAATGTTTCATAAAGGTTTTATTTAAAGCCCCGGATTCCACTGGTCCTGGCTCAAATGCTATGGGAATGAAAAGATGATTTATTTGTGCAGCTTCATCTGTTCTTTAACATGGTTAAATTTTCTAGGAACCAAATTACAGATCCCTCAGTACTTAGAGTCATCAACTATCAAACAGGTGTTCTAGCAAGTGAAGGGGTGTCAGGAGCTTGAAGTGCAATGTGATATTTTAACTTTGACTTTATGCCTAAATTTTTCTGCTGTTTCAGCTGAATAGGTGTATGAATTCCCCACCCTTTTTGTTAACTGTGGGCCAGATTTTGCACGCTGTATACTCTTTGTTTTTGCAGAACTGGGTTTTTACACTGCAGAGTGTTCTTTGTTTTTTTTTTTTTTTAATCTGTTTTCTTCTGTAAAGCAACACGCATTCCAATAGCATTGTGCAGATGAATGCGTTCAGAACAAATGTTGGCATCAGGGTGAGTGAGATGATTCTGTGGAGCAGTGTCAGATCCTGCATGTGCGTAGAGAAACGATATCTATTTTAGAAATCTACTGGAGGCATTTCTGTTGTTTCATTATTGTAGTAAATCATCATCCCTAAGGAGAAGAAAAAGAAAAATCCTCTATGGCTGCAGTTAGGCAAGAGCTGTGATTATGTCGGTAATGCCAGTAAGCAAATGGGGCTGGATCCCTTCAAGTTGGTGAGGGGGTTGTGGTTGGAAGAGAGACTGGAAACACGGATGGGTGTTTCTTTTCTCCTGCTTATATCTGAAGTGCCACAGTTTGCTCTCTGGCTCTGTTTCTCCATAAATAGGAGTATCCAGGCACGTCTAAGCGTTTACTGTAAAGTTCTGCACCGGTTTACAGATGACCTGGGTAGTCTTCAAGGTTGTGGGTGTTGCAAGTGAACACAGGGTGGATCATTAACTGAAGAGGCAAGGAAAAATTCTTAGTGCTCTTACCGTAGGAAGCATGCCAGTATGCGTTGGCATGTTTCTAGACAGTTCTTCTTAAAAGCTTTTGTGCATACGGGGGTTACTGAAAGGAGCAGAACTGTATTCTCTGTAACCTGAATATCAAGTGTCTTCACACATCTGGAAGAAATGGAGAAGAAAAAGAAATCTCTGCTTGCTTATTCTGAACAGTTTTTTGTGTTCAGCATAATCCTACTGGCTTGGAAGGATATTAACGTCTTAAGTATGTGGACGCAACGACCAGAAATTTTAGAGACGTGAGAAAGACTACTGTGGTTCATCGTCATCAGATGTGTTAAGATATGGATGCTTGTTCCTGGTGTTCTTTGCTTACTTACTCTGTTGTGCTCTCAGCCTTGATACTATCCATTCTGTTTGATGGTTAGTATCAATAGTTTGCCTCAGCTTAGCTATATGTCAGCAGGCAGGTCAGCATTAAGGTGTTGTAAAGGAGGTCAAAATTGGGACTGTGCGCAGCTCTTACTGAAGCTGCTCATGAGCACCTGTGTGTGCAATTATGAAGGTAGTTTGGTGTCATATTAAGAGCTGTACGATTTTTCAGGACCAGATTTATTGGGGTGCCAAGGGACATTAGGAGTGAAGTAATTCAGCAGTTCATGCCATGATGTACCTGAGTGGCTCCTATTTATAGGAGGACTGTGTTTGCTACTAATTGCAGACTGTTAACTAATCTGACATTCAGGTGTCAAAATGGAGCGCTCACTTTTGCTGTTTCTGATGCATTTTTGTCTGAAAACCTGAGAACGTTTTAAAATACATATTTCCACAAGGACGGAGAACTTATATTTGGTAGTTTTCTTCTAATGGTGGAGATTGATTGACTATAACTTAGATCTGATTTATATTTTTAAAATGTACCGATTCCCAGCAATGTCCTGTTTCGCTAATGCTGGTGTTCTTTTGTGTCCAGCGCTGACATCCCAGATGCAGAAATTGCCTTATTACGTTATACAATCCAAATTCTTTTTTAGCTGCCATAACTAACTGTTTCTCCAGAGACCATCTCCATGATCTCAGATCATAGGAATCAAGTCCAGATTGAGACTAGATTGTTCCATAAAGTCTGTAGTTTGTAACTAAATGTGTATGAATTGTATGTTTCAGTGATGTCCTTGCACTGCCGATCTTCAAGCAGGAAGAACCACAGCTGTCTCCTGAGAATGAAGCCAAACTGCCTCCATTTCAATATGTTCTCTGCACAGCTACGTCACCTGCTGTGAAACTGCATGAAGAAACCCTGACCTACCTCAATCAAGGTAGGGTTTGTACTCACTGAAGGAAGGCATATTTCATGGGAGTGGTTTGTGAGAGAGAGAGAGAGAGAGATTGAATCCCATTTTTATGCCTCACCGGGAGGGCAGTGGGAAGGGGGAAAGAGATGGGGAGGGGGACATAGGAAAGGAGGAATCTTTAGTTTTTCGTATTTATAGATCAGATTGTCAACTGATATAAAAGGATGACGTTTCATTGAGTTAACTGTTGACCAAAAGCAGCATTATAGCATGCACAGTTTCATGTTGCCAGGTACTGGCTTAATCTCTGATAATTTAAATGCAGCCTCCTACCTTCATCTTAAATGACCGGATAAACTTAGCAGATTGGCAGGCTTTAGGCTGGGGAGGGCTCTCAATGTTGCAAGTCCCCAAGCTCTGCTGGAAGGGATTGCCAGAGGATGAGCTACCAAGTGCACAATGGCTCCTTGGTGGTCTCTGCAGAGCATGACTTGGCTTCTGTTGGCTGGATGGTGTGGCTCTGCTCCACTGACTGCCTAAGTTGCTGGGGTCCACTGTAGCAGGGTTCTCCATAGCTGACCTCATAAGCTAATTTTTACTCCTAGATAAACAAGCACTGCAAGTTTCTCTAGGCTTTTCTTTTTTTCCTTTTGGCAGAATTTGTGCACACACATCTGTGGTTGGAATTTGGCTGTCACTTTTCGGCAGTTCTGCACATGGGTCCCGGAGGGATCAGACCTCTCCAGGCACAGATTGTGCTATAACTTACTACATTTATTTTCTGTCACGTTGTAAACAAGGGCATTAGCCCAGCAACAAGCTGAAGGCTGTCTACCTTATATTACTGATGTCTCCTCGTGCTTCAGGACACCGCACCTGCTCTTCAAGCTTTGTGCACAGAGTGCGAGGCTCACTCAGGTGGCTCTGTGGCTAGACTTCTTTCAATGCTTGTACAGAGCACAGCCCTGACCTCCCTTGGGCTCTGTGACCTCAGATGCAGCTGGCTGCTAGATCTGTGTTGCTAGTAGGTAGACCCAGTGAAGCCCCGCCAGAAAGATCAGCCTAGTGCTGCAGGCTCTACCAAAGGAGCCAGATGTGTCCTGTCACATAATCTGGCACTGTGATGTCTCACAGATCAACAGACACTTGATTTGTGATTGCGTATTCCCAAATTATCTATCCAAATACAGAAAGCCCAAGGAGGTGATAGGGGGCATATCAAGGGTGAGATGAGGATGGATCTTTCTGTGAAACACAAAATTCTTTCCTGTTCCAGAGTAAACGATCATCTGTTGTAAAAACCAGTTGCCTGCCAAATACTGTGGCATCTTTCAAACCGTATCTGCTTTCTTACCTCGGAAGGACAAAAACAATACAACTCTCCACACTACCATGAGTTTCAAGTTATTAGAGTTCTGTCACTAGAGCAATCTAAGTTTTCCCATGCGAAGCAAGACTGTTACCGCCTTTGCTTGATAGGCCCTGTTGTGTTTATGTTGGTCTTTCTCCTGCTTATTATCACAAGAGTTGTCTCTTGCTCCATTTCAAAACTGTACTGACTTACCTGGCAGACTACCAGTTCTCAGATATCTTCTGCATCTGCCTTTCATCCCTCATAGGATTAAAATTTAGAGAAGTCCTGAAGGGGAAGGTGGGGATATGCCCTTGCAGAACATGTCCTGGAGAGCATTAGGCTGGACAGGCCTGGAGGAACGAAGCAGGGATGAGGCTGTTAGGAGCCATGCGTTGGGACAGAGTTGGGAATGGACTTGGAGGAGAAGTGGACTCTCCATCCACCACGGAAAGACAACAGCAGTTGAACCAGCACCACCACCTTTCCCTCAGGGTCTTTGGGGTGGTTAGTGGTAAAAGGTGGTGCATCTCCTGGCAGTTTAAAGGCTCACACTGTTCCTGCTCTCTGTTTTTGGCAGGAGCTTCACATCTGCCTGCCACCCTCTCAGCACCATCCCCTGCTCATTCCTTTAAGCTCGCAAGCAATGAATCATCTTCCTTACACTGATATCCTCTGGGCTTCTTTGAGATCCTCTTGAAATTCAAAGTACTGCTTAAATACTGGACTCCTTGTGTGTAGTGTTCCTTCTCCTCCCCCCTTGAGATGCTGCAGTGCCCCTACTTTAAAAGCTATTCTTCCTCACTCTTAACAGGTTGCTTCAGAATCTGTACTGGCAGCAGACACTCCTGCTCTCAACGTTTACCCTTTCCAGTAGCAGGGCAAGACTTGCTTCTAAGTTCACCTGACCTGTAGGTATATCTTGATACTATATCCCTTAGACAAAAATCCCTTGTCTGTGCTAGTTAGGAAGAAGGCACTAGAGTCTGCTCCCATATGGATATTTCCTACAGTGAGAAGCTTGTGTGTTCATTGAGGGTACTTACAGAGATGAAGAAAAGAGGATATTGGGAACGGATTTTAACCAGCTGTGGTCAGGGTTGGCAGGGGGAGGGGGGGATTGTCTTATTTCTGTTGTTGGAGTATCAGTGAGGATGTTGCCCTGTGGATTTGCCTTGCAGTCCCAGCACAGAGTTCTTTGGAATTGGCAGGTATCCACTCATTTTGCTTAGAGTTTATTATTTTATGAATCCTATATAAAAGGTATTTCTAAATAGTCTTTTTCATGACATCTGTGACAAAAGTGTGTTCCTCATGCATTGACCTTCTGGAATAAAAAGTAGGACGTGTCTGTTTAAAAGCAAAAGTTTAAAATATTTGAATCAAATTCCCTTTTGGTTTTGGAAAAATATCTCTGTGCAAATCCCTTTTGATTCCTGAGCCATATAGTTTCTCAGTAGGTACCTGTTGTGTAAGTATTTCCCCCCTCCCTCCTCTAAAGCCAGAGGGGAGTGTTACAACTGTTTAGTATGACCAGTTCAACACAACCCAGAGAATACCTCCCAGGCGCTGCCACACTGATCTCAGATGTCCTAGCTGAGCTAGAGCACATCTTACTGAAATACAAGTCTTAATTTAAAGGCTCCAAGTGTCAGACAATTTATCACATTAACAGAATTATATTGTGTGAGGCTTACTTTAAAAATGACAGTTTCCTTTCATGTGCTCTCCAGAGTTTGCATAGCTGTTAAGGAGCTTGTGCTATAGAGTGGCCTTGAGTAAGGCTTTTAAGCCCGAGAAGGTACTTGAAGGGACTGACCTCAAGGCAGCCTAAGCCTCAGGAGCTGTTTCAGCATGCCGTAGTCGTGGCATGGCAGAAGAACTGATTGACTTCAGCGTGCTCTGACCAAGCTGCAGTGTCATTGCCAACTCATGAAGAGGTTTAGACTATTCCTGTGACTTACCACCTTATGCTGATTTATGCCACGTCTCAGTTGGTTGAGAGCTAACTCTTAGTAACACAGCCACAAAGAAACAGCGGCTGCCCCTATTTGACAAAGCAGTTGACATCCAGTGCAATTACTTTCCCTAATCATGAAGATAGGATTTGGTGTTTACTTCCTGGCTGTTTGGGTGACTCTTGCCACCTCCTATCCAAACATGCATTCCTTACTCAAGCTTTTCAGCACTCAGTAGCTGACCTTTTGTCACTGTGAAACAGTTACGCTCCCTGCACTGAAACACTCGCTCACACCTCCACATATGATGGTGAGCGGTTGGTGAGTGGACCAGCTCAGGAGATATTCCACGTACAGAACAGCATGCAAGAAAGGAGAGGTTCCTTTGGAGAGATTCCAGTGGAGTGATTCAACCTAGGTGTGAAAGTTTCATACAGCTGGCTGGTAAGAAGGGCTGTCCAGTGGCCAGGTTCTTGTACAAATGGGAGAGGTGCCCCAGGTCTGTGGCACGTGATGACTTCTAATGAGTCTTGCTTTTTGCTGGACAGACACAGAGAGATTAGAGGCCTTTGGCCTGGACTCATGTCCATGAGTGTGAAGGAGAAAATCCAAGAGGATTCCCGAACAGGGGAGGCCTGTGTGTTCGGCAAAGGGCAGACGAGGCATTTCTGAGGGAACATAAGGGAATTAGTTCCTTTCTTATGCTAAGTTGACTTGAGGACATCCAGCAGTGGTAGGCTCCCAAGCTTATCTACTCCAGTTTGAAACCCTGAATACTCACTGTCTGCAACTCTAGAATGAGCCTGTAAATCAAGTAAGTAGAGTTGAACCCTTAGCTTGAGTTCCAAAGACTGACTCATTGCACTTGTCTTTCCTGGTCTCTTTCCCCCCTGCCTTCCCACATTCCTTGGGAAACTGGACTCAGCACCCTGTTAGCCTGAATTGAACATGATCTTAGTTTGCTAATCCTTAAGGCAGTTCCTCCATTGAGAGAGCCTTACTGGACTTCAGTAGGGTTACTCACCTTACAGGACAAAGTATAGGCGCGTTAGTGTCCTAAAACCACTCCCTCTTCAGTCCAGGAAACTGATTAAGGTGTTCTCTCCTTAGGACGCTTTAGGAGTTGCTGCCAACATTGTTCCTTTGGTCAAGGATAGCGTCTGTTGACATCTGTTGACAGAGCTACACTGTCCAGAAGTCTGCAGCAGAAACATCGCCTAACGTTTTTGGAACTAGCCTGCCTTTTAGCACTATTTCAGTGTCTCTTGTGGATAGGGATTTTCAGACAAACAATCAACCAGCAACCATATTGGAAACCACTGCGTTAGCAAGAGGTCTTGATGCAGTTGCATGTTCCATGGTCTGCAGCCATGTGGGGTGTGGTTTGACCATGGCTGGTTGAAACTAGCTTCAAACACGGGCAGAAATAGGAGCAATGAAGGTGGTTCCAGAAATTGCAGTAGGAGGAATGCAGAGGAGAGGAGCACTGCACAGCAGACTGGAATGCCAATTTGTGTGAGGAAATAAAATAAATCTTTAAAAAAAAAAAAAAAAAAGCGATTATTATTGCCCTAAGAGGATCGGCTTGTAGCTCTAGAGCTACATGTGGACTGTGAGCTATTCAAGTCATGATTTTGTTTCATGAGCAGTGTTGGGTTGGCTCAGAGCCAGAGATCTGAATTATTCTGAACAGAGGGTTGTTAAGGCTGATGGCA